GGGTGAAGGGAGGGCAGGGACAAGGGGAAAAAATGAGAACCAAGACCTGGCACGTGAAGGTACAAGATCCCAATGATGAATGTAACTGTACTGTATACCTAAAATGTACCAATAAATTCAATTAAAAAAAATTTTTTTATTCTGAGACAGTCTTTCTAAATTGCCCCAGGTGGCCTCAGACTTTGATCTTCCTTCCAAGTAGCTGGGATTACAGATATATGCCCTCATACCTTGGCTATCTTCCTGCACTTTAATTTTCAAAACTCACTTGTAATTTTGTGTGGTGTTTGTGCTATGGCACATGTATATATGTACATAGGTATTTGGACTTTGGAGGTATTTCATTGTCTTTAGGTTTCCACTGTTTCCTTGAGAGGTCAGTGTTCAAAAGTCTGGTTGCTTTTAAAAGGGATTTTATAGTTTTTATTTGGGTATTTTTAATCCTCTTGTCTCTGTGTTTTAGCCATCATACTACAATGTTGGGTTTCCTTTGTTCTTATCTTACCTGGAGTTCTTGGAGATATTTAAAACTGTGGGTGAGAAAATATAGTTTTGGTACTTATTTATTTACTTATTTACTGTGTTTGATCAGGACCTATTTTGGGAAATCTCAGCTATTATCTTTCCAATTATTGTTTATGCCCCATTTTCTCCTATCTTAAGGAACTCTAGCCATATATATTGCAACTGTTGGAATCATGACCATCAAAAGTGTCCCAGCCCCATAAAGAAAAACAGTCTCTGCAGATGCAATTACATCATGGTTCTGGAGATGGGAGATTTTCCTGGATTACATAAGTGCGTTATATCTTAGTTTTCTTGTCGTTGAGACTAAATACCTGACACCCAAAGTTAAAGGAGGAAAGGTTTATTTAGTTCACAGTTTGTAGAGTTTTCAGTCCCAAATCAGCTGGCTCCAAGGCAGAGTGGCAGGGCAGAGAGGCATCGCAGAGAAAAAACAGTTCATGGCAGGCAGAAGGTAGCAAAGCCGAAAGAGAACAACAGCTCTTCCTATCCCTTACTTCTTATGTGGGCAACAGGGTGAGTAGCACTCACACCTTCAATCTTAGTGCCTTTGATCCTAGTACTGTACCATGAATCAAACTCAGCATCATACACTCTAGATCAGGCCACCTCTGAAAGAGCCCCACCTATGACTACAAGAGGCTTTAGAGTGACATTTAGACACAAGCCACGGCAGGTCCTAAATCCAGTTCCAGCTGTTCTTCTAAGAGAGGCAGAGAGCAACTGTACGGACAGAAAAGAGAGGGATGTGAAGATGGACATGGAGATTGGCCCGATACAACCACGGGTACAGAATGATACCAGCGGTGGGAGAGGCAGGGGATGGCTTGTCCCTCAGTGCGTGTGGCCCAGCTGACATCTTGATCTCAGCACAGTGGCACCTGGCATGGACTTCCAGCCTCCAGAACTGTAAGGCAATAAGTGTTTGCTATCTGAAGCCTCTAGGTTGGAGGCAGTTTGTTGCAGTAATCTCGGGAAAGTAACACGCACTGGTTAGACGTCTATGTTTCAAGTGACTCTCACATCCTCTCGTGTAGTTCCCATTCTTTTGTTTCGTTGTGCTTCCTACGGAAGTCACACCCCCCGCAACTTTTTTTTCAGCTGTTAAACCTATCCGTTGAGATGCCAGTTCTAGATACTGCAGGTTTCCATTTTAGAATTTCCTTCCAAATCTTCTCTAAAAGCCCTTTTCAGTTCTCTGCTGAACTCTCAACCTTAACATTCATGTCCTTAAGCATAGTGAGGAGTCACGTCTAGTATCACCACTGTAAAAATGTCCTGCAAATCTCATTCTTTATTATTTCTCTTGGAGTTTGCATATGCTGTACTGTCTCCTCATGTCTAGCCATTTTTTATGATAATTTGAGATCCCATATGATTATATCTCCCCTTCCAGAGGACTTTCTTTTGCTTCCAGAAAGGTGCTCTGGGCACTAGCAACTTCAGATGACCTCTACCTTATCAGGAGTTGATTCAAAATAGGGTTTTCATCCTTGTTGAGGCTTTCAGTTCTGCACCATTGCGTATGTTTTTTTGTTTTGTTTTGTTTTGGGTTTTTTTTTGGTACCAGGGATCCAACTCAGGACCTTGTGCTTGTGAGGCACGCAGTGGCACCACTGAGCTAAATTAAATCCCCGGCCCGAGTATCATGCTTTTTACAATGCTTTTACTATGTTAAGTAAGTTCTATTCTATTACTACTTTTTGAATGCTTTTTATTATGAAATGTGGGATTTTGTCCAAGCCCTCGTCTGCATCATTTGAGGCAATCATGTGGGTTTTTTTTCCTCCTTTATTCTATTAATATGTATTACACTGATTGATTTTCCATGTGGAATCACCCTTGCACGCTTGGTACAAATCCCACTTGGACATATAGCATAATCCTTGTAATATGCTACTTGATTCGATTTGCTAGTATTTTCTTGAAGATTTTTGGATCTATATTTATGAGAAATATTGGTCTGTAATTTTCCTTTCTTGTGATGTTTATTGGGTTTGTATCAGGGTAATGCTATTTTGCTACTTTCTTTGTGTTTATTCATTTGTGATCTTATAGTTGTTGTTCTAGTGGTAGCAATTGAAGCCAGGATCATTTGTCTTTTTTTTTTTTAACATTTTGATTTAAGTGTTCAGCTCATTAATTTTCAGCCTTTCTTCCTTCCTAGTGTAAGTATTTTAGGCTACAAATTTCCCTCCAAGCACTGCTTTCAATCAATTTTGATATATACTTTGCAGTAGTTTTTATTTCCATTATGATTTTTCATTTTCTTTTCTTTTCTTTTTTCTTTTTTTTTTTTTTGGCATTTAAAATTTTTTTATTACTACATTTTTTTTCTTTGTCTTGTTTTGCATTTTAGGCCGGACTTGATTTACTATGTTTCCCAGGCTGTCCTCAAACTCACGGCAATCCTCCTGCCTCTGCACCCACCACCTCCAGTGCTGGGGTTACAGGCCGTGCCACCATGCCCAGCTGTGTATTTTAGATATACATAATGATAAAATTCATCATAGGGAATTTGTACCTGTATGTGATATGTATTGCTTCTTCTTTTTCTTTTGTCCCCTTCCCCTCCCCTCCCCTCAACCCCTCTTCCCCTTTCTTATTCATTTTCATAGTGTGTGTGTGTGTGTGTGTGTGTGTTGCTGGGAAGTGAACCCAGGGTCTTTTTTATTTTTAAGAGTGTCTCACTAAGTCACTACATTGCCCAGGCTGGCTTTATACTGGTGATCTTTCTACCTCAGCCTTCCTGGGGTGGGATTACATGTGCCTATTACCATACCCAGCTTTGTTTTTATTTTTTAAATTGAGATAAAATACACACAGTAGTACCTCAGTTCAGGAATGTTCCACAGTTCTGGCACATATCACCATTTCCTTTCTGTGCAGGAAAGATGGCTATAGTCGTGTCTGTTACCTGATTCAGAGTTTGCAAACAAAAACAAAATTTTGCCAAACGTTTCTGTTTGCAAGCCAAACTGTTCACAAATAAAAGTCTGCGAACCAAGGCTCTGAGCATTGATACACAATTTACCATCTTGCCCACCCTCCTCACAATGAGCTCAGAGCCTCCAGCTTGCTAGCAAGTACCTCCAACTCAATAGGACAGAAATACTCTTAGAGGAAGCAAGGAACATATCATGCAAGATGGCACAAGACTAATCCCAGTACTTAGTATACTGAGGCAGAAAGATCACCAGGAGTTTGA